CACCGGCCCTTCAGGACCGAGTCTGGGCACACCTGCTCTACAGTAAGCAAATCCTCTTCACCAGCTAATTACACTTTAACAGTGATGCTATAGAAATATACATAGCTACCGCAAAAATGGAAGTTTAGAGACAAAATTCTAAAATTCTAAAGATGGCTGCGCACTTGTTTCTCTGATACATAAGGTCTATAAATTCTGTACAAGTTCCTAGATAGAGCATATTGGGTCTACAGTAAAGAGACAGTCACTGCTCCTGTTTGTTTCAGTTTCATTGGTGAAGAGTCAGTGGCTGCAGGAGAACCTTGTGTTTTGACTGAAAACCCAACATGGATTGTTGACCCTGTGGATGGGACCACTAACTTTGTGCATGGGTAATTTTTATTCACTGATAAAAATGAGTAAAATCAAATTAAATAATGAAAAATAAAATAAAAGAAAAAAAACAATAGAGTATAATGTAATATTTAAAGTATTTGTAAGTACAAATTATATTATAAGCACAACGTTAGTGAAACGGTTATTTTAGCCATTATTTCTTACTCATTTTCAGCCATAACTTTTCTAGCATGAGCTATACAAAATAAATATGCGTTTCTTTGTCCAGATATCCATTTGTTGCTATATCCATTGGCTTTGCTGTCAACAAAATGGTACGCATCATTTGCTTTCAAATGCACTCTCTTTAATTTTAGAATAACAAAGTGACAGCACTGGTAATAGATCTTTGTGTGGTGAGATGAAATCGGAAACTGCCGCTCTGCTCCCACTTTGTTTTCTTGCTCATTTGTGACCCTGGACCACAAAACCAGTCATAAGGGTCAATTTTTCGAAATTAAGATTTATACATCATCTGAAAGCTGAATAAATACGCTTTCCATTGATGTATGGTTTGTTAGGATAGGACAATATTTGGCCGAGATACAACTATTGAATCTGAGGGTGCAAAAAAATCCAAATACTAAGAAAATCGCCTTTAAAGTTGTCCAAATGAAGTTCTTAGCAATGCATATTACTAATCAAAAATTATTTTTAAGTTTGAATATATTTACAGTAGGAAATTTACAAAATATCTTCATGGAACATGATCTTTACTTAATATCCTAATGATTTTTGGCATAAAAGAAAAATCTATAATTTTGACCCATACAATGTATTTTTGGCTATTGCTACAAATATACCCCAGAAACTTAAAGGGGTCATATGATGTTGCTAACATCATAGAACATTATTTGGTGTAATGAAATGTGTTTATGCGGTTTAAGGTTCAAAAAACACATTATTTTCCACATTTTCCAC